TCCCACAAGAATACCAACACGTTCACCTTCGGTTTAAGAAGCGGTCTTTTACTTTACTTTAACATGAAACCCATCCATCGTTTCCTCAATATTCGCGTCATTTTTGCTGCACGCAGCTTCGCGCTCCTGACGCGGCGAGTATAAACCAGGCTCTACACTCGAAGCGCTGCGCAGCTCAAACAAGTCGCGCGGTTTCGTTATGCTTTCAGTTTCGTTTGCTGTTTGATGTTTCTCCCATGTAACAAAAATGCAGTGCTTATGAGTTAAACAATGCGGTGGTCGCGCCAGTGCGACCACAGACAAAATTTAGTCGCACCAGCAGAAAAAATGATCTCAAAATGCGCCCATTTGGTCACACACTAGAGCCCTGTGCAGTACAGTATTTATTTATCCTCAGTTGTTCAAATCGCGGTAATCGAATACGGTTATAGTGATAATTAAAATATGAAATGGTAATACTAACCGTGGGGTATTTTATCACGATTGATCGTCAAACCGGTAATCGATTCATCTCTATAATATTGTCTTCTGTCACTTTTGATCAATTTAATGCATCCTTGCTGAATGATAGCATTCATTTCATAAAAAGAAAAAAAAGAAAAGAATCTTCCAACTTTTGAACAGTAGTGTATACTGTGAATGTGAAGTCTCAATCTACAGGATAACATGGTGAGAGGTAACATTAACACTGAATATCTAAGGCTGGTGTCTGTGTCCTCGATGGCCTTGTTTTGCCTTGAGCTAGAGACCACCATGAGAAACTGCAGTGCGGTGCTTCATTTAAATGAACTCACCAGCAGAAAAAATGATCTCAAAATGCGCCCATTTGGTCACACACTAGAGCCCTGTGCAGTACAGTATTTATTTATCCTCAGTTGTTCAAATCGCGGTAATCGAATACGGTTATAGTGATAATTAAAATATGAAATGGTAATACTAACCGTGGGGTATTTTATCACGATTGATCGTCAAACCGGTAATCGATTCATCTCTATAATATTGTCTTCTGTCACTTTTGATCAATTTAATGCATCCTTGCTGAATGATAGCATTCATTTCATAAAAAGAAAAAAAAGAAAAGAATCTTCCTACCCAAACTTTTGAACAGTAGTGTATACTGTGAATGTGAAGTCTCAATCTACAGGATAACATGGTGAGAGGTAACATTAACACTGAATATCTAAGGCTGGTGTCTGTGTCCTCAATGGCCTTGTTTTGCCTTGAGCTAGAGACCACCATGAGAAACTGCAGTGCGGTGCTTCATTTAAATGAACTCTGCATCAGAGTGTGATTGCCCTGACACTTCAGTCCAACCCACTGAGCTTCAGAGAGACGCCAGCAGCTCCGATTTCTCAAACACTATTGTGAATGTTCGAGCACTGTGTTACACTCAAACTTCACTTTCTTTCTGTTATTTTTGGGAAGCATCTTGATGTCTGAATTTTTAAGTGTCAGCTGTGCATGAACAAAGAGGAAGTGAAACCGTGTTAGCATAAACAATGAATCAAGAAACCCTTGTTATGATGTTACTTTTAATGGTGATTAGTGGTCGACCGAACATGTGTTTTTTGACAGCCGATGCCGATAACTTGGAAAGCAGGGAGGCCGATGGCCGATATAAAGCCGATATAATTGTATTTATTTTAATTAATATTCAAGAAATTTGAAATCATTTGAAAATGGGTTAAAAAATAAATGTGTTAAATAAACATACTTATACATTAGATGACAAAGTATTTTTCACAAATAAATAAATATTTAATGAAAAATATAATAAAAACAGGAAGTAAACACTGTAACCAACGGGGCACTTAGTATTCTGGGAAGTTTGTGTGCATTGGGAATCATATTTTTTCAAATAAAGCCAAGGTAACACTCATTTTAGAGCACACAGTAGAAATGACATGAATATGACAGTGAGCAAATGCATAAAGCGCAGCATAATTTGAAATCACGAGTTTATCGTTTTCCAGTCAAGCAGAACTCTCCACCTGTCCGTATTCAATTCACACAGACCGACCGTGACGCAGAGAACACGCGATCATGCAGGATACACATGCACACTTCACAAGGTCTCACAACTGGATTCGACTAAGTTTGCAAGGTTTGTGAAATTAAATGTTCATTAGTTATTCAAAGATTTGTTTATATGATATAAATGCATGTTTGCTGAATGCTGACGGCAAACAAGAAAGTAATTATAATGTTTGCCTTTCTATTACTAATAATATAAAAGCAATCATTATGATACTTTTTGTATACATTTTAATTCCTTTGTTTAACAGTTCTATCGGATTATTATACAGACGTCTATCCGTATTAGACAGAACTGTTAACGATTGTGTGCTCAGGCACTGCCGTTCTCAGCGCCGTCAAAATAAATGTCCCGCATCATATCGGCCAAACAGGAAAACTTATCGGCCAATGCCGATATTTTAAAAAAAAAAAGCCAAATATCGGTCGACCACTAATGGAGATCCTACAAAATCAGGTCTATTGTGTCCAAAACCATCCAAGTGTGAAGACTAGGACATACTAAAGCAAGCAAAATCAGTAATAACATTTATTATATGAATAAGGGAATCGTTCAGCAACTATATATCAGAGCTACACAAACATTTTTATAAGCCAAACCTCTTTGAGCTAAAATAATTACTTAAGCTACCTTGTGAGGTTTTTAGTTAAAATTTTAGTAATTAAAGAACACATGCAGCTGCTGATTAATAGTCACATGACATGCAGGTAAACAAATCAAATATTTAATCTTTTTAGTAAGTGTCTCATTTTGATTGTTTTTATTTTAAAATAAAATATTTTTATGCTTTATATTATTAAATAAAATAATTTAATTTACCTTAATTAAATGAAATAATTACATATTTAAATTCATAAACTTCTATTACTAATTACTATATTGTTAATTATTGGCTTTTCATCAACATAAACCCTATTTTGTGTCAGTTTCAAAATTTACAGACAGTATAGCCAATGAATAATAAATGTTTTTAGTTTGTGCATGTGTGTGAGAATTTTGGGTAAATGTTGTGTAAAATAATTTGTTTCAGAAATGTGTAAATCTTAAAAAATAAAAGCAATGTAGGACTATATATTGGCAAATGGCCACCTTCTTCCATCAATATTGCCATCAATATTGGATATTTAAAGCCACTAGTACCACTACAGTAAAGCAACCTACATAGCCCTTATATAACAAGACACTGTCACATTTCCGTCACACAGAAGTCACATCCCACAGATGAACACGTTTAATATAATCAGGCACTTTGCAGCAGCACAAGAGTATGAGTGGATATGAATTGTGCTTGAGTTCCTGTGTGAAGCCAAAGTTATAACTTTCCCATTGATTCCCCAGAGGAGGACCAGCTACTCTCATTGAGAAGCCACTGCAGCGGAGCCCGAGCTCGCAGCTGGCCACACATTCACACCGCTCAAAGACTGCGATGCCTTCACTAAAACACAAACGCTTTCACTGAGCAAAGACGGACTGTATGTCAGCTGAGCAAAGCAAGCCACCTGCATACTAACTAAAAAGATCCACGTCACGCAGCAAGATCAAGCACTTTTTGCTCAGATGATTCCAAGCTTGTGATCGTCATGAAATTGGTTCTTTTTAATTAAATATTTGGGTTACAATGGGTTCAGTGATAGTGGTGAGTCACACATTATTAGTTTAATTTAAAACGATTAAAACCAATTTCTTGCAGCACACAATTTAATTTGATGCTATTCATAATCACTCAACTCAACTGGTCTATCAAGCTCCTATTTAAAAGGCTTCATCTGAGACCAGCAGAACCAGTTCATTAAGACATTTATTAGAGAATTAGGCAGCTCTTAAAAGAAAAACAAAACAAATAGAGAGCAGAGAGTCATGAAAAAGAGTCATGATCAGCACAATTATTTCATATGGTTACAAATAAGTTTGAGTGCATCTCAGACATAAGCGGAGCTACCATTCAAAGTTTGGGGTGGGTAAAAAATTTTTTCTAATGCTTTTGAAAGAAGTCTCTTATGCTCACCAAGGCTGCATTTTTTTAAATCAAAAATACTGTAAAACAGAAATATTGTGAAATATTATTAGCATTTAAAAGAACTGTTTTCTATTTTAATATATTTTAAACTTTAATTTATTCCTATGATGCAAAGCTAAATTTTCAGCACCGTTACTCCAGTCTTCAGTATATGATCCTTAAGAAATCATATAAATATGCTTATTTGGTGCCCAGTTATTGATATTGGTTCCTATCATTATCAATGTATGCATGTATATATATATATTTTCATTTTTTTTTTGCAGAAATGCCTTCTCAGGAGGCAGGCTGTGATGTGCTGATGATTTTAAACGTATTAAATATACTGATCTTCTGGTTTAAAGGGATAGTTGCTGCTCCCCATTGACTTACATAGTGTTTTTTCCCATACTATGGAATCAATGGGAATCAGCAACTGAACGTGAACAATCCCTTCAAGGCAGCGGTCCTCAATCCTGGAAGACCCCAGTACTGCGACTTAAGATATAATTCAGGTAATTATCAATAATGGATCAAAAATGTGCAGTGTTGGAGTTCTTCGGGACCTGGATTTGAGCACAGGTTTTAGGGGCTGTGCCATGAACAGACCTCTCTGGTGCCGTGACCAACAATGAATGAACACAGATCTATCACTGGGTTAATGCTGATCTTCTGGATAGTTTAGGGTTGTATCTGGTGCAGTGACTAAGGCTCATCTGCTGCATGTCATGGCCTCACTGGGCTTCTGGCTTCCCTTGCTCCCTCTGACTTAACATCACGTGCCTGACTCTCAATATCAAACCTCTGAGCATCAATCCAAACCACTTACCGGGTCTAATAAAGAGACAGCGATCTCCGAGTGGTTTAAAAGCGATGTAAACACTCATTTGACAGGTAGCCCGACACTCCCAGCAAGCCTCGGACGGGAGCTGAGCGCGTGTTAGCTCGTTAGCATGATCCACATCTTACCGTTCAGCGGAACATCCAGATCACCCACAACCGTAACAGGGCTTGTTCCTGCTCGTCCCACCACGAGCCTCGAGTCAGTATAACGCTCCGCAGCCCGACTGTGAGGGTTTGGGGCTGAAATCGGGCGGCCGGAGCAGCTGTGTGTGTCCAGGCTTCCGCAGCTCGACGGGGGAAGTTCCTGCCACTGACAGTCCGATTCCTCAGCACGAGCTCTAATCACAGAGTGGCGCAGAAACAACAGACTCACAATCACACAGTCAGTCGCTCGCGAAGAGCTGCACTGGCTGACAATGGCGTTGTGTTCACTCCTCCTGATGATGTCTTCCCAGGATTCAGGGAGAGCAACTCCTATTGTTTGACAATCTGGAATAACATATTTAGTGATATAGATTGGGAAGAGTTTTGGCTTGTTCGACAAACATTCTTCTTATCTAATAAAGTTGGTGAAGTCTCTATCAAAATGATCCATAATTGTTATCCGGTAAATTACAAACTTGCTAAGTTTAACAATAGTATTTCCCCCAATTGCTCCTTTTGCCTTCAGTCTGAAGAAACAATCAATCATGTGTTTTGGGACTGTGCTTATTCTAAAGTGTTCTGGGTTGACTTTTCCCATTTTGTTAACACATTTATATCCAAACTTTTGTATAACCCCAAAAATTGCTTTTTGAATTTAGACCCTTCTCACTGTAAAAGTATTATTAATCTATTGCTATATCTTGCTAAATTTTACATTCATAAGGTGTACATTTTCAAAGAAAACTCCCTACTTTTTTATTTTCAGGAAAGATTTGGATGTGTACGTAAACTCTTTAAGAAACTCTAATAATTCTATTGCATGTAAGACTCTTTCATGGTGTAAGTCGATACATAGTTATCCAAATTTTATTTATTTTTTTTAACTAAATGTCATGATTTACTCACCCTCATGTCATTCCAAACCTGTATTTCTCAAAATATCTTCTTTTATGTTCCACAAAAGAAAGTCATAAAGTTTTGAAATAGCACAAGGGTGAGTAAATGACTATAGAATTTTCAGTTTGGGGTGAACTATTACTTTAAGACATGCCGGGTGCTGTGTGTACATTAATGAGGGAAAAAAATTAACTTAAATGATTTTAGCAAATGGCTGCAATATAACAGAGTGAAAAATTTAAGGGGGTCTGAATACTTTCCGTACCCACTGTATTTAAAAAGTCAATTTTTTTTAATGGAAGAGTACATTACCGCTCTGCATATTTTGCATGTCTCTCTTATTTAACACAGCTGATTCAGACAACCAGCTCGTTAGAAGAGAGCTCCATGCATGAACGGTGTTCTGATTGACATGATCCCTACACAGTGTTCTTTGCTCCCTACTCCCTGAGAACGGGAAAACCGTTGCCAAGTTCTTCACTTCACACACAGATGAAACTTACTAGAGAAGTGTGACATAATATACCTCTGTAAATAAATACAATTTAAATTCACGTCTCGCACACTTTAATGCACTTTAATAAACTGGAATCATGGCGGAAAATCCTCTGTTGTCGATAGAAGAAACGTCTGAAGAGATAAGAGATGCACACAAAATGTGCAGAGCGGTGGTACGCGAGGACTGGAATTGAGAACCACTGATATAGAAGAATATGGAGCTCATACTTGAGGAGAAAAACACCTCAGTTTTATTCAGAGGCCTAAACTGAATAAAGCAACGCAGTTGCTGATATTTATATGGCTAAAAGGTAAGATGCAATTACAGTATGACAGCTTATAGTGTAAAACAATTATATATTTTTAACAGTATAGCAGACTATTTACATAAAATGCATTTAAATATCAGCCATCACTCTATATCTTACAATAATATGTTTTAATAAGATGATATTTAAATGCTTAATGATCAAAGTTCTGTAGTTTTTATTGTGGGGGCAAAGCATATAATGCAACGTAATACAGTGATGACTGAGAGATGAACAAATAAACAGCCTTTTACTTGTTAAATAATTATCAATCAGAGGGCAGAAGGCAATCAAGGCATGTAGAAGATTGTATACAGGTGTTGTTATATTATAATAACTATTTGAGTATTTATCTCACCTGTTATAACTGGCATGCCTTGTAATGTTTTTGTCCAAGAAGTGTTTGTAGAATACTGCCATTTCCTCACTGCTTAAAGTCCTTTTCCTTCCTGGAGCCATAATAAATGATACATTATACACAAGGCATGTCCCCAACCACTTTAAGATTCAATTATCAGGTCGATCCATATGAGTTCTTCAATGATTGATCCTTAAACAAGTACATTTGGTTATATCTTTGCCAGTTAAGTGTGATAAATATACTGTAGGTAATGTTCATGTTTAGACGGCTCACCATCATCATCTCTCTCTGACAACCCTTTTGCCGACAGTTGCGATCGCACATATTCTTCCTTTTTCTGTAAGACAAAACTTTAACTTTTTTTTTTTTAAGGGCAAGTGCTGCTTTTTTGTACAACATTTGCCAACATTGCTATGTGCTTGCTAAGCTGTTCTAGAAGGCCAGAGTCAAAAAATGTCCACTCTCTTAAGTATTTACAGCAATACAAATAATAAGCATATTTCTGCAAGCGGCTAAAGAAGTAAACATTTACAACACAAAACTACCCTCTAGTGGAGATAGTGGTAAAGGAAGAACTCCATGGAGGATTTCAATAGTTGCAGTAACTACTCAACATGCTAAATGTGTTTCCTGCATCAAACTGTGTGGTTTTTAAGCTCGCACCACACAACTGTGGTTCTCGCACCTTGCTAAATGTGAAGTTCTGGTTAGTCCAGAACTCGTGACTCCAGTCTTCAGTCTCCTGTCTCAGATGCATCAACTTCCTTTCCAGTGGTGTCTCATTCTCCGGGATGTGGTATCTGATCGGCCTCAGGTCTGACAGTCTGTCTGGTGGACCAATCCAGTCATATTTGGATGTTGCTTCTGGACTGAATCCAGTCCGCTACAACGAAAAGATTCAAACAAGGCAGCATAAGAAATTTCAACAACAACAAAAAACTATAAATCTGGTTAAAATTAATTAAACTGGATCTACAATAGTAACTTTTTTCTAATTTAAATTATATATAAATTATTACATTTCAATAATCATTAGGAAACGTAAAACAAAAGGTAAGGATGTGCATTTCTAAATGTAAAATAATAACAGCAACAGTACATTTAATTGAACGACACAAACCTCTGATGGCTTGACATGTTTCGGTGCTTGGCGACAGCGCAGGGACCTAACGCAACGCAGAGACCTACATATTAAATAACTGCCTGTTTTTACATTCATCGTTGATGAGTCATTGACCTTGACCAAAAATAATAAGCACAATTTCTCCACTGGCCTCCGTTACAGCATGAATCTTCAGTACATCTTCTTCTTCTTCTTACCGCCAACGACTGGAATTTCAGTTCTTCTTCTTCTTTTAGGATTTAACGGCGGTTGGCAAACCAACTTAAAAGGTGCATTCCCGCCACCTACTGGAAAGGAGTGTGAAGCGCACAATGAATAGGAACTTTAGAAACAAGAGCTACCTAATAATAAAAAACAAAAAACTAAAAATAAAAGAATCGGTATCCTAAATCCTATTAATCAATACTGTTTCCTTTAAATAAATAACTAATTCGCGATATATTCCTGATTGCTTAGATCCATCGCCTAACAAGACCTGGAGTGACAGATAATTTATTTCCAGATACCTTAAAGCTTGGCTTAGTTGGAAGCATTCTCTTTCATAAGCCTCACATTCTATAAGTACATGTTCTACAGTTTCTGTTAACCCACATTTGTCACAATTTCCATTTTCATGTTTTCCTATTCTATGTAAGCACTGATTTAATAAACAATGAACAATACGCATTCTTGATATTATAACGTCCTCTTTCCTGTTTCCAAATCTTCTTTGTGTGTGTGTGTGTGTGTGTGTGTGTGTTTGTGTTTGAAAATAAATGCTTTCAGTAAATACTTTTACAATGTCACATAAAAATTCAATTTTAAATAATGTTTTTAAATATTTGAATTGAAATTCTCTTCATTAAAGAATCCTGGAAAAAAAACAGATCACTGTGACCCATCACTGTAAAAATATATCACCGCAAATCATCAAATGAGAGGGATTTGTGAAGGATCATGTGGCACTGAAGACTGGAGTAATAATGCTGGAAATACAGCTTCGCCATCACAGGAATACATTAAACAGTTTGTAAAATTGCAATAACATTGCTGTTTTACTGTATTTTGGGTAAATAAATGCAGCCTTAGTGAGCATAAGAACTTTCTTAAAAAACATTTACCCACATGTTTTAATGATAGTCAGAGTATAATTGTGTTATATTCTCCCGCTAATATAAAACGCCTGAAAACAATTGGACATGTATTATCCTTCAGGCCACTCAGAGATCCCAAACATCTTATATATATATATATATTGATACGTGTTGTTGGTGTGTAATAAATCCAGCCCCTCGTAACTGGCTCGTTCTCGCTTGGCCAGCTGCTTTATGTCATTATTAATTATGGGAAGCCAAACAACCCAAATGTGGGACGAAACGGCGCGGTATTCAAGTGTACCGCTGAGTAGGTGGCGGTAATGCACCTTAACGTTGGATTCCACCCGCCTTAAAAAATGAAGAAGAAGAAGAGTAATGTTCGCGCTGCGCTGTTGTAACTGATCCGCGCCGCGCTGTCAGCTCGGTGGCGCTAGTAAACACGTCCTCTCTGCGCTGTCAACTCGGTGGCGCTAGTAAACACGTCCTCTCTGCGCTGTCAGCTCGGTGGCGCTAGTAAACACGTCCTCTCTGCGTATATCTTTATATATCTATATTTTTACGTCCTACCATTATACTCTTACAGCCCATTTACACCAAGAAACGATATCGATAAAGTTTTGATATTTGTTCTAGTTTTATGAAAATAGGGAAGTCCACACGCTATGAGGATAATGGAGGAAAGATATTGTTGGAATCACATTCTGAGCTTTTTTTCCCAGCAGATGAACAATAAAAAACACTGACAGCCAGTCAGAATCTACCTGCCTTTAAAGAGCTCGAGTTAGAACTAATATATTTATCATTATAGAGACTAATATATTTCTGGCAGGATAAATATAACTATAAAGTTTTAATAATCGTTCTAATTCTATAAGAAAACTGAATCCACGGCATGGCTATACATTTGGATCTGCTAATGTTGCATCGCATTTCTTTTTACAGCGCTGTGCATTGTAACCAATCACACACGATTCCGCTGAGTTTATGAATGCAATGGCCAATCAGAATTCAGATGTATGTCGAAGCAATTTATGGCAGTTTTGGGGATCTAAATAAAATAGTGTTATCTTTCGTTTTACTAATACACGTTTTGTAAAGGATGACTGGCACAAATTAAATCTAGGTCACCCCCAATTTGGTAAAGAATGTTTAATATGTTTCGTCGTCGAAACACACTTGCATTGGTTGATTAAAGTTAGGCTAATTGTTAATAAATGCCTCTACACCTTACCTTATTCATTTATGTAATGAGAAAAAAAAAATCTGATTTATTATGATCAATTTTGACCTACTTGAGACACGCTTTAAATGTATTAAATTTAAGTGGACAATCAGATTTTGGTATTGTAAAAGTCACACTTAACATGTTTTCCTTAACTTATCAGTTTAATTTAATTTTCTAAAGAGATGCTCCACTTATAAAGTGTGGACATTTGAGTGATAGCATACACACTAGGCTACACATACATGGGCTAAATAGAGAGATTGCTTGTTTTGATAGATAAGTGTAAGTTAATGGGGTCCTATTATGCTTTTTCACTTTTTCAACTTAGTCTGTAATGTTGCTGTTTGAGCATAAAAACGATCTGCAAAGTTACAAAGCTCAAAGTCCAATTCAAAAGGAGATATTTTATTTAACAGAAATCACTTTTCATAAACTTCAACGAACGACTCGTTTGGACTACAACGCATATTTTCCGGGATTTGTGATATCACAGATAGGTTCTGCACGATTAATCGAATGCGATTGTCATGCGCATTTTGTTAAAAAAAGCCGGTTCTGTAATCAGCAGTAAATCCTCATCACGTGCTTTCAGATGGAGCAGAATTTACTACACACAGCCGTAGTTCACTGACAAGCTATGCAAAAAAATTGCAGACGATTTTATTGCGCGATTATGAATTCGAAGAAATTACAGATAATGACAGCTGTTTGCATAGCTTCTCAGTGAACTACGGCTCTGTGAAGTAAATGCTGCTCCATTTGAAAGCATGTGAAAATACCACATTTGATAACATATTTTTACTCAAAACTCACTTCATAACGTCAGTCGAGTGTTTGAAATAAATCCTTCTGTGAGATGATGTGGCTTCTTACACAGAATAAGGCACACAACATATTTCATAGTATTTAAGCAGTGATAAAGGCATTGCATTATAAATATACTTTATTTTAATGAAAATTATAATAATAAGAACTCCGATAAACCATATATTGTCATAATCGTGTGTTTATTAGTCACGTTGAATCAATAAAAGCAGTTCAATCTTCTGTTTATCCAGCTACCGCCATAGGCATTTCCTGGGTTTCTTCTGCGAGGCATATTTGGAGTTTCAGCGCGAGAGCGCCCTCTGGCCTTTGGAGTGAGATTTACTGCTGATCACAGAACCGTGCTTCATTGAAAGATATGCATGACAATCACAGCTTCTGTCGAATCGCGATCTCGAATCTTCTGTTTATCCAGCTACCGCCATAGGCATTTCCTGGGTTTCTTCTGCGAGGCATATTTGGAGTTTCAGCGCGAGAGCGCCCTCTGGCCTTTGGAGTGAGATTTACTGCTGATCACAGAACCGTGCTTCATTGAAAGATATGCATGACAATCACAGCTTCTGTCGAATCGCGATCTCGATTCCATTTCGATTTATCGGGTAGCCCTAATCACAAATACCGACGAATGGGACGAGACCTGGTTGAGCTGCACTAGAGAAGGCAACGAGTGTTATCACAATGTTGGAGACACGCTATCTTTCCCAAGGCAGACGAACTTAGAGTGGTTACAATAATCCAGGTTTATATCGCGCTCAAATTGATTTGATTTTTTGACGCAATATTTACACTGAAGCTTGCAGGCGGGAGCCTGTTCTAGTACACCCCAAAACAAAATCAAGACTTTGTAAAAGAGCATAATAGGACCCCTTTAAGTAACATGGCATTGACCTTCAATGACACTCACTCGCCGCCACCTACCGGCGTAAAGATGTCACTGCATAAAGAGTCACTGAGTGAACTGATTCAAAAGAGTCACTGAGATGAATCACTAGCGCTTATAGTGGGAGGGGAGGGGTGGGGCAGGAATGCAGTCCATACCCGATGTGATGCTGCTGCTCTAAATCCCGGTCTCTGCAAGTCCACGATCCAGAAATTACTGGAGTGTTGCACCGCGCAAAACATTTCAGTAGCGTAGCTGATGGAAACGGAGTCCGTTAGACATGTGCGCGAACGTTTTCGGCGCATTGAAAAGGTGAGAAATATGCTGCGCATTTTAGGAGGTGGTGAGATATGCTCGGATTGTGTCGGAAAGGGTTGGCTGGTGTTCAGAAGCAATCAAAATGTCCTTCTGCGATGGTTTCGTTCATGTAAATCCAGGCACAGCGCTGTCAGATTGCAGGAAGCATCGTTTTGGTGAAGCATGTTCAGGTTTGTGTTATATTCTAACTCTGCCTTATTGATTTTATAGTTGATGTCACGGAGGTAGCCACATATTCAGTACTGGGGGACGAACAAATGTAGTAATTTAAGAATCAGCCACTGAAAACCCCCATTCTGGGGGGACATGTTAGGTTCCTGGTTCATGTATCGGGGTTCAGCTGTAAGACACTCTTCATGAAGGCACAGATGATGATGATGATGATGATGAAGAGACGTGTATTGCATTCATTCATCCTCCGTGAACAGAAGACGGTTCTCACTGACCTCGCAGGTAACATCAGCATCAGAGCTGCTGTGGACAGCTCCAGAATCTCGACTCCTGCCTGTAATATTGATTCTGAAGTTTGAAGACCCCTGCTGTAGGTCCCAGTAACTGTAATAGAAAAGAAGTTTGGTCATTTTTAATTTAAAAATTAAATATACTGGTCTTGTTCTGCCAGGACATTATCCATTAAGTTAACGGACATTGCTTTATTATAATAAAGTAGTATTATATTTTGACGTCACTACAGGTTACTGATGTGCATGTAAACTGGGAAAACTGTTATTTTAATAATCTGATATTTGTGAGTTATCAGCTTACTGGTGTGCATGTAAACGTGCTCCATGATTACTTCAAAATATGGGTAAAACACCTGTGAAAAAATCAATACGGAATCAATTCCTTAATATTACGATATGTAGATAGGTACAAATAGTACACGGTACATTAGGCCATATATTTTTTTAGACTTTTCCATAGTGTACGTCATTTATTATTTAAGTTAATGTTTATTGCATCATTTTAGTGTCATGTGTGTTACCCTGATGGTTGTGACAATATTTTCTACTCTGAATTTCTGGCAACTGCAGATGCCAGTTTTTACCGTAAATTTAACAGGATGTTTTTAACAGTATACTTCAAAAAGTAGGCCTATTTTAATTTTTTTTTTATTGTGATGATGATGAGAGATTGCATTCAGCCTCCATGTACAGAGAACATTTTTTGTTTAGTCTAGTTAGACCTCCATCAGTTCCTGTGATTTTATTATTATTATTATTATTATTATTATTTTAAAATAAGGCAAACAAGGATATAAGTACAGTTCATTCAATACTGTTGCTTAACAACATACAGATTGTTCAGCTGACTAAATGTCTTTACGGAAAAAAAAAAAACCTTCAGTTGACCAAAGCTCCATAAAACAGTTTTGAAAGTTGTGAGTTGTGAAAATGACATGATCGAAGACCTTATACAGTTTGTGCCATTGTAAAGACTGTAAGTCTATCCCTCACAGGCCCATTTCCATCTGTGTTAAATAATGTGTGTTGGTAAGAAAATATGTGTGCAATTTGGAATCAAGCCTGTATGTCCATATTATTGATTGTTTGTTGTGTATAAGTGACATAAGGTGTTTGTTTTGTAGTCAATGAAGTGGTTCTTGAGCCTTATTGACAGTGTTATTGGGAATACAGAAGGCAAAAAAATGTAGGAAATACTTAGGGTTTACTCATTTGGCCCAATAAGTGGGGACCATCCATAAAAATATTGTTCCAGCCAGGCCATGTGAATTTGAGTTTTAGAAAATAATTAATTGACCCTGATGTGGCGGAATGCCATGAATGGTGAGAGAAACAGTGATGTATTTAGCAGTTCCCACTGAAAAGCTTTGGCATGGATGGCATGTTGGCTCTATGGCTTCACCCAGATTTCATAGTCCAAAGTGTTTGTGCCCATATTTACTTGCAAGAAGTTGGAACCTATAATAAGAGGTCTTCTGTGGCTTAACTTACTGGATAGCGGAGAATGATAAAGGAGGGGGGAGACAGAAAGCTGGGTAGCAGTTGGAGAATCTGGACAGATGATGGTTCTGACTCATCCTTATCTGACCCTTCCCTTCCCTCCTACAATCACAGCATGACGTCACATTAACGTTGTAGTGTTGCTCAACTGTGGGAACCAGATATTCAGCAAGCTAGGTGAACTGTTCATAAGTTCTCTTGAATTTGGGAGTATTCAAGGAGTATGTATTTGATATTTTTAATGTGACAGTAATATATAACTGGTTTTGTTAGATTGGAGCAGATGATGCTTTTCGGTGAGAGGGACTTTAGTATGGTGCTTATTTGTATTTATATATGGCTAGTGTAATCATTTTTATTGACACTGCTGTGAGTTTTCTTCTTGACAACGTCCAGGCTGTTTACCTGGTTATATAAAAGGATAAAGCACCCAAGGCATACTTTTAGAGGGGAAAAAAAGCCATCAAGAACAAGCTTAACATCTCCGATCCTGAGGACTGCATTCTCACTGCACAGTTGTAAATGTATTGTGCATTAAAGTAATATTCAGGATTAAATGCAGTTTAATCTCTTTCATCAGCATCTGTGTCATACTCTCGATTACCACAAAAAATAATTTTGACTCATGCCTCAGTTTGTAATGTGTGTTAGAGCTGCACAATTAATCAAATCTCTAATCGCGATTACAATTATGGATGCCACAATTACATAATCGTTCAAAGCTGCAATTAATCGCTGAAAGTCCACTTATGTTATTCTGTGTGCTTAAGATGCTTTTTTTTTTCTTCTACATGTTATCTTAAGGGTTTTTCCATTGTTTTAAATAATTTTAGTTTTAGTATAACACTATAATACCATTTATATTTTATAAGAAACCAATCCGGTGTATAGTTGACATTTGAGGCTTGATACTATAGAAAAGCACAAAGTTTTCAGTTCGTTTTTTCAGCTTATTTTCATATAAAAATACGGCATGCAGTTCCATCAAACAATGGTATAAACATCATTCAATGTAAATTGTGATAATCGTAATTAATAATCGCAATTACAATTTCAAAGGAATAATCGACAATTATGATTTGTCATAATCGTGCAGCCCTAATGTGTGTACAGCTGTAACATTGTATAAATTGTACTGCTGAGGTGGGACTACTTTTGTACTTTGTATATATTGTTTTATAAAATTTGGGGTCAGAGGTTTTTTTATTTTTTGAAAGAAATTAATAATTTTATTCAGCAAGGACACATTAAATAAATCTAAATCGACAGTAATGGCATTTATAATTAGAGATGCACCGATTGCAATTTTCTTGGCCGATTCCGATTTTTTTGTTAGTTTGATCTGCCGATACCGATTTTTGCAGATTCCGATTTTCTTTCTAATAACTATAATTGACAGCATATACAAACAAAAATCAACTTTTCTTCAACGCAAAGTTTTATTTTCATTAAAAAACTCAAGTGAAAAGTCCGTAATAAAATAAGAACAAATACAAAAATTGCAAACAACAGCACAAATAAATGCAATAGAATAAAGAGAGCTATGAAACTAAGTTTTTCAGGTTAAGTAAGCAGGTAAGAAATGCTGGATGTGCTATTTTACATTTGATTACTTTAATTTCTGTAGTCTTCATTGTAAAAATTAAATACAGATTAATGCTTACCATTAAAGTTATAAAACGTATGGAGTCAAGAGCAGAAAGTGATTTTCTTTGTCTTTTGATTAACATGACAGACAGCAGCAGGAATATTGGACTGCAGGCCCTTTAAGAGTTTATCCACAGACCCAATATACTGTTGCACAACATGTGTTCTCTTTCTCAACTAATTTTGAGGCATTTTGACATAAATGTTGTATGTATTTGACCGTTTTAGCGCAGTTAGCCACTCATTTTGGTATTTGTGGCTCACAAGCTGTTTGAGACTGAGCGCGGCTTGTGCGCTCCACTAATATAGATCAGTGGTATGTAAGCGTGAAAACCTGCGGGAATGACTAAAATAATGCGCAATACAAGCACTATTTAACCGGAGCGAATGAGACGTGTGTGTGTGTGTGAGAGAAGGGGTCGTCGGAGAGATGAGAGTGAGAATGCGTGGCTGATGTTATTGTCTGTGCCGCTGGTAACAAAACGGATCGGCTCGAAATCGGAAAGAAGCGAGACTGACCAACCAATCACCGATCCAGACCGATCATGAGAAAAATCGGCCGATCGATCGGTGCATCTCTATTTATAATGTTACAAAATATTTATATTTCAAATGCTGTTCATTCAAGAATACTAAATAAAACATACTATCACAGCATAAGGTCACATATTGTGTTCCTCAAAAAATATTAAGCAACTGTTTTCATGCTGATAAAAATAAGAAATGAGCAAATCAGCATATTAGCATTCTGAAGGATCATGTGACACTGAAGACTGGAGTAATGATGCTGAAAATCTTATCAAAATAGATAATAGTTCTTGTAATATTTCACAATATTACTGTTTTTCTGATTATTGTTGTGCATAAGAGAAGTTGTTTGCTGTGGTAATCAAACTTAAATTCAATAAACAAATCCTCCATTCAAACTTTATGGTAGATAATTTCAGTCTCGAGTGTGTAGTCTATTTTTGATGTTTGTAAACTATACTTTTTTTTTAAAGTAAGATTACATCCCCCTTTGATGTACATTGATACAACCTCAAAAAATATTAAGCAACTGTTTTCATGCTGATAAAAATAAGAAATGAGCAAATCAGCATATTAGCATTCTGAAGGATCATGTGACACTGAAGACTGGAGTAATGATGCTGAAAATCTTATCAAAATAGATAATAGTTCTTGTAATATTTCACAATATTACTGTTTTTCTGATTATTGTTGTGCATAAGAGAAGTTGTTTGCTGTGGTAATCAAACTTAAACTCAAACAAATCCTCCATTCAAACTTTATGGTAGATAATTTCAGTCTCGAGTGTGTAGTCTATTTTTGATGTTTGTAAACTATACTTTTTTTTTAAGTAAGATTACATCCCCCTTTGATGTACATTGATACAAATGTAACTGATGGTGTCATTGCAATTTGCATTCATTGCATTTATTTACATATTAAATCGGTTTCATCTCCATTGCATACAGACATGGACATTGACTGTGTTGATTCATCTGTGCAGTAAACTGTTGCTGTGTAAACAGCAAAGCGGCTCTGGTGCAGATTCAAAGCCTAAAATTAAAATGTACCCAAAACTTTAACCCTATTCTTTTGCTGCCTTGCAGGCACTGCTGTTTCCTTAGGAAATGCACATCTAATGTTGATCAAAAGAACTGCATTTTTAAATAATACAATAATAATAAATTACACACATGCTGTTATTGTATCCTTAACTTCATGCTCCGGAAATGACCACATAGAAAATAGTATATTTGTGCACTTCTTTTAGTTACATTATATTTTAAAGCCTTCTGCGATCTCTTCCATGTCTGTTATCAAACAGAGAGCCCTATGGTCTGGGTGCTAATGGACACCGTCTCTTTAAGGACCACGAATCTGATCTGTCTGTGACATCACAGACACTTCCCTGGGGAATAGCAGCGGCAGTCTGCTGCCAATAAAATATTGTCTAGGACTTTGAATCTGCAGAGGTAAGTCCGCACTAAATGGACTGTGTTCTTGAAGGGCATCTGTACTTAGGGACACTTCATTTCTCTAAACATATTCTGCAGTTTGGGTTTGTTGGAGCATTTGGGTTGACACGCTTTTTTCTAACATGTGCTAGCCAGATTTTGCCATCTTTTTGTGGAAATGAGTTGGACCCATGGTGTCACGACTCCGGCAGGTAGGAAGTACATTTTCCAAGACCCTCCAGTAAGTTGGGTTGTTGCAACCAGACTGTTGTTGTCAAAATCAGATGAATGGATTAATTACATAAAGTCAGACTTGGTACGCATTAACGGTTGCATTTCAGATGGACAGATTAAGCAATTTATATGAACCTTCTGGTTTTCAGAAACTGTTTCTTCACAAAGTTTGTCCACCTAATAAATGGAGGTTTGTTTTAGTGATGTGTCATGCATTCAGACAGTTCCTGTTTCCTGCTCTGGCATGCCTATTTGGTAATTGTTTTGTTTATGATGGCTGTAGTTGGAAACATCTGGCTGAGTCAGCCTTAGTCATCACAGCTGTACAACACATAGAACCTGTGCACAAACCTCTCCTGTGTTTTTCATCATAGAAGTTTACCTGGGTTAGGACTAATCCTATTTTATCCCACCACACAATTATATCATTTTTTAATTTTATTTCTCATTACAGGCATCCACTAAAAATGACGCACTGGTTTAAGTAATTTAAGAAAAGAAACATTTGTTTGTCACCATATGTCTTTCTGATGTCGTTTGGTTCACTGTTTTGTTATTTTGATTTAATGCAATGAAATTCATGCATTTTTAAGCCTATCTTAAATGGATATTTCACCCAAAAATGAAAATGCTGTCATCATTTACTCACCCTCATGTCATTCCCAACCTGTATGACTTGCTTGCTTAGAAATTGTGAAGAATGTGGGTAACTTAAAGACATAGTTCACCCAAAAATGAAAATTCTATCATTAATACTCCCCCTCATGTCTTTCCAAACTCGTAAGACCTTTGTTCATCTTCAGAACACAAATTAAGATATTTTTGATTAAATCCGAGAGCTTTCTGACCCTGCACAGACAGGAACGCAACTGAAACGTTCGAGGCCTAGAAATGTAGTAAGGACATCATTAAAATAGTCCATGTGACATCGGTGGTTCAACTGTAATGTTATGAAGCTACGCTAATAATTTTTGTGTGCAAAGAAAACAAAAATAACAACTTTATTCAACGATTTCTTCTCTTCCAGGTCAGTCTCCGCCGCACGTTCACGAGAGTACGAGGACGCATGCATGTGATGCTACTCATAAATGTTTACCTATAAAAGTAAAAGCTTCTCTTTTACTTGTATTCCATTTCATCCACTGTATTAGAGCTCTGCACAGGCCTCAAATTTAGGCCCTAGCCCGGCCCGTGTCCGACAAGCTTATCAGAATTACTGGCCCGAGCGCGTCTTTTTTCCCCTTCTCCCAAAATAGCTTATACTACTGTTTCAGCTATTAAAATAGTTAAATTTTGTATGTAATAGCAAAGTGATTATATTTTGTTTCGTTTTTTTATGAAGTTAATAAAAAAAAAACGTTTGGAGCATTTTTTTGATCGTTAAATATAAGTTTTAGTTTTTTAAAGTAAAGACCAAGTGGCCAGCGGCAGACAGTTTGTATGTTTGATCAATTTAGCCTTCTCAAATCATCACGACTTGCCTAAAATAAAATCTATAGATATAAAACAGTTCAAGCATATAACAATGTTTAAACGTTAAACCTAGATAAATGTGTGCTATATCCAATAGTTTGTGCGGAGAGTGGATAAAGCGCGCTTTGCAGGACATAGAGACGCCAGCGCGATCACTTGCATTTTTTTCAGTGGATACGCCATCATTTTTGCTCATAAAGGTAAGAGCAATACATCATTCGTAGCTGTAAAGGGTCTACTTTTATTTGTGTGCACTCACAATATCAACAAAACGTTGTGCTTTTATAGAATAAAGAAAACAAACATTTCTGCCGTCTCATCTTGAACAGGAGTGCTTCACAAAAATTAAACAAAACTCAGTGAATACATGCCTCACAGACATGATAAATATAGCTAAAGAAAGCTTTAAACTACTACTTAACGAAATAAAACAAATCGAAAACAAAAACTCTTTCATTATAATCATAATCCATAAAGATGCACTTCTCTCTAAAGGTGCGTCTAATGAGGAGATGGGGAGTCAGGATCGGCAACTTCATCCTTGCGACACCGACTCAGAAAACACTAGTTTATTAGTAAATAACTCAAATATCTCCTTACTATTTCCCCCTGACACATTCATGGTAATTACTTTTGCTGGTGCTTTGCGGCAAGCTTAAGCCTATTGCTTGCATTTGAACGCAGAACTCTTCAGCTGCGCTGACGGCACGCACCATACATACTGCTGCTGCGGGACAGTAAACACCGTCGAGCCGCTCTTGATAGTCGCCGTAGCACGGTCTTGTGTTGTTTCCACCAGCGAGGCAATTTTTTTCATCACTAGCCTAATTGATGGATGTTTAAAATATAAAAATACGGAGAAGCCTAAAACAGGCCTGAGGCCCGGCCCGCGTCTGAACTATGACGTGAAAATTGACCCGAAGCCCGGCCCGAGGGGCATAATAAAGTCGGGGCCCGTCGGGCCCAGGCTGAAATGCAGGGCTCTACACTGTATTGACACCATGTCCCAACATCATCCTCTCACTATTTCCATATCCTGACTAGCTCACCTCTCTCTTCTCTTTCAGCCTGTTTAGGAAACCCTTTGATGGTGGGAAGAGGACAATGGATCATGGCAGTCAGCAGCCACAAACTCCGCAGACGCCAGGACCCTTCCCAGGTTATACGGGACCCCAGGGCCCCTACCCTGGGCAGCACCCAGCCCTGTTACGGCTAGATGAGGTGCAAAGGGAGATTGCCACCCTGGGCCCACAGGTATGCTCTTACAGCGGCCTGCAGAGCGACAGAGAGTACAAACGACTGGAGCGAGAGCTGACCCGATTGCTGCTGGAGGTCGATAAGGTCAGGACAGGCCATCAACGCCAAACAAACTTTTTGGTTCAAATAAAGTCACACCAGTTCATTCTTCTTAACTATATTTGTTTCCCAACCCAGGTGGAGACAGAGGGCAGGCCGGAGCTTCAGCAGGCTCGGAAGCGTGCGGCAGGAGAGGTGGAGGGTCTGCTTCGCTACCTGGAGGGCAATGCTACGCATCCGTCTCGGCTGGCCATTGAGGAACTGACCCAGGAGGCGCAGAGCTTGCTGAATGAAGGGGTCGTAGGGCCGTTCCGACAGGGCCAGGCTCAAGATGCCTTTGAGATCAGCGAGGAGCTGGTGGAGGCTGTGCAGGACGTGTCCATGCGGCTGGCTCAGGTCAAGACGGGAGGGAATGTACCACTCCGAAAGGCACGTTACAAAGCATTGACAAGGGTCTGTGCTGTACAGGAAATACTGGAGGGTCGTGTACGCACTCATATGCTGGCGCTGCCGTTGTCCGATGACACGCACGAGGCCGTGCAGCGTATTAATCAAGTCATGGCTCAGGTGAGTGTTATTGCAAAAAATATATATCATGAGAAGTCACAAACCTGCATCCTAACCTGCAAATCACTGTTCTTTATTTTACACATAAAAAACAGACCATTTAATTTTAAGGGTCAGAGAGAGAGTAGAAAATGGCCATTAAATGTTATTAGTGTTAACATAAGTTAAGAACTTCAAATCTTCTCAAAACATTTGGGGTGAGTAAGATCTGAAGGATCATGTGACACTGAAGACTGGAGTAATGATGCTGAAAATTCAGCTTTACCATCACAGGAATAAATTGCATTTTAAAATGCATTCAAATAGAGAACAGTTATTTTAAATTGTAATAATTCTTCTCTATTTTACTGTATTTTTAATGTAATAAATCGAGACTTGATGAGCATAAAAGACTTCTTTAATCATTTTTGAAAGAATGTTCTGATTTTATGCTTGAAACAACTTAATGTTGACAGTAAAGTAAAGAAAACCTGAAAGGAGCTCATCTTGTGTAGGTGAGTGGTGCCCGGTGCCAGGAAGTGGCTCTGCTGATTGGTCTGAGTGGGCGTGATAGCTGTGCCCACCTGGCGAGGATCCTTACAGAGCTGTTGGTTGAACTGGACGCCCTGGATGTGTCTAGTAATTCTGCAGTGAGGAACTACAGAAAACAAGTGGTGGAGGAGATCAATGGTCTGCTAAAACATCTTGACCTGGAGGGAGAAGGAGAAGAGACACACAGGTAACACCAAATACACACATCAACACACAAACTACAATATGTAGCACCAGTGAAATGCACTCTTATTTAAAGATGAAATTTTTAAATATAAATTTGATTTTTTTGTTAAAAGATAAAATTTTATGTATACAAGTTTTGTATAATTAATTAAAAAATTTTTGGGGGGGAAATCATTCTCTTATGCTTACCAAGGCTGTATTTATTTGATCAAAAATAAAGTAAAAACAGTAATATTGTGAAATATGATTGCAATTTAAGTTTTCTAATTTGATATTTTAAAATGTCTTCTGTGATGCAAAGCTGAATTTTCAGTATAATAAGTCTTCAATGATCCTTCAGAAGTCTAGAAAATATTAATTTCTACTATTAAAAACAACAATTTTACATACATTACCATTCAAAAGTCTGGGGCATCATGGTTTCCACAAAAATATTAAGCTGCAAGTTTTTTTCAACATTAATAATAATGAAAATGTTTCTTGAACATCAATGATGAAGAAACATTTCAAATATTAAGAAATCATTTTTGTTATTTTTTACATTTTTAAATATATAAAATGTGATATATACAAATTTTTGTTATTTATATCCAAAATATAACTTGTACGTGATCAAGAGTTATTTTTAATGGATTATTAGTTACTTTTTCTATTTTTAACCTATATTAATGAAGTTGATTCATTGTACCTCCAGGTATGATCTAGCGCAGAATGACTCGATTCGTGAAATTGAGGCGATCAGGGGCCATGTCTCAGTGCTGCGGGAGGAGGTGCTTCGGCACGGTGCTGCAGGACAGGGGACGGAGCTGCAAGGTCTCCTCACGCACCTGGATCAGGTGGACACGGGGCGAAATCCCTGCATTCGGGAAGCGCGGCGCAGGGCCGTGTTGGAAGTTCAGGCACTCATCACCTTCCTAGACCTCTGGGAAGCCCTAGGACGGCGTAACCCCGGACCAGACGAGCCTCCGCCTCATGTGGCCGTGTGGCGTGTCTTAGCCAGCCTGTGCAACCTGCAGGCTCAGGTTTTGGGCTTTGACGGCAAGAGGGCTGACAAGAGCTACATGGTATTGGAAGAGCTACTGACCAAACAACTACTGGCTCTTGATGCTGTGGACCCTCAGGGCGACCAGGGGACCAAAATTGCCCGTAAGCAAGCTGTTAAACACGCCCAGAATATCCTTAGTTACCTGGATATGAAGACAGATGAGTGGGAGTACTGAGAGGCCAATAAAAGAGACAGAGAATAAGGAGCTGCAAGAAAATGGCAAAAGCTTTTTTGCCTCTTGTGCAACATATGAGGACACGGTCGTGCCGAGGATATAGGCCATGGGCGATATTTTTAATTTGTGTATAAAAGACTTTGTGTATCGCCGTGGGCAGTGAGACTGTTACCCATGATGCACTGCACCTGCTGCTTTTTTTGGTCCATTACTGGTCCCTGAAAACGGTCTTTCTTCTGCCAGAATGCTGTTTCTAATGCACATGAAGCATTTGTTTTCATGACAATAACCCATGACGATCTTTTTAGTTGAATCTGTGCTGTTAATTGGTGTGGTGTGGTGCTAAACCCTGTTTTGCTGCCAAAATCTGCTTCCTGCTTTGTCCAACATGCCTGTGTGGGGCACATTTCAGTCTTTATCATGGTGTGAGTACATCAGCTCTTCATTCCTATCCAGTTAAAGCCATATAGGAGCAGATGATCCTGTTATGACCACAACAGGATGAGCAATGGGCCATTTCCTGTTAATCACACATAATGGAAAAGGCAGCAGTGTTCATAGGTTTAATCTCTTCTCTAAATTGCACTTTCAGAGCCTGAGCTATTCTTGCTACAGTTGTTAGCCGAATATAAACAACAACTGACCCAGTGGAACAATATTTTTGCATTTTCTTGCATCTTCTACATATATGTCCCAGTTTACATTACAATAGATGAGAATGAATAATCAGTTTAAAGGTGAAGTGTCATTTCTGCGCCATCAGTGTCACCAAATTGACAGTTTACACTTTTCATTTAACTTAAAATTATGGCTTACTTATAGTTTAGAAATATAGGCTATTCACATTATGCTAATATGAGAAAGTGTTATAAACTTCACCTTAAAAAAAGACTCAAGGTAAAGCTAAAAAAATCTATCAGATTTCTAACCCTTCCTGCAGTTTTGTCAGATTTCATAGAGGACTGTGGCCAAAATTGCAATGAGGTATTGTCTTTCGAGACGTTTCTTTTTACTATCGATATGGAGGACAAAAAATAGAAACTAGTTCACAAGGTTTCTTGTTATCTCCATTGCAACTATGGAATCGAGCAGAGACTGAAAGTGTGTGTGTCTGTGATTGTTCAAAAAAAAGTGGTGCGTGCTATTTTGGTGGCGAGACTGATCAAAGTGGACAGGGGTATTCTAGGACATTTTTATCTGAGCAGCATGGAAAGACAGCAAGCTATCAAACACTCAAAAACTCAACAATGTGACCCAAATCTGTTTTGTGTGTGTGTGTGTGTGTTACACATGATGGATCTAGGGGTTTTGGGATGACAGCATGAACAAGTAAAGATTTGGTTCACTTTCATATGTGGGAATAAATTGGACAAAATGAGTCCCACAAGTGACTTTTGTTATGAACAACAGGGTTTTCATCATATTTGCACATTGGATTTACCCTTGGTTTGAATTACACTCTATAAAGTAGTACACATAAAGGTGCAAAAGTATATTTACTTATTCCGTTTCTTTACTCTCAAATATTGTGGCTTGGTTTGAACTGTAACTATAATTTGGCACTACTGTAGATTGTTCATTGGCCGATATGAACTTAGAGAGCAGAATAGCCAATGGGCAATATATGATAATACAATAAGGCAATAGAGTGCAACAGTGGGGTTCTGGATTTAAAAATCATATTCATTTTCTCCATAGAGGAATTAATTTGAATGATAACTTGCTACTGTGAACTATATGGTTAATCGATGGTATATGCTTTTCTTGAAGCATATTTCATTACTTCAACTTGTTTTTTTTAATAATCATGTTCAACAGCTGGTGAAAACTACATTACCCATGATTCTGCAAAGAAATATCCACCACCTGATATTCAAAACTAATGTTTTAGTTACTAAAACAAAGTTGTTTTAAACTAAAGCTCGGAGCTGCTTGGTTTCATGGCTTGTAACTCATAAATGAGACTTTAAAAAAATCTCTATGGGAAAAATGAATGGAAAAAATACTTCTGGAACCAAGGCTGCTGTAAAACGATTGCACTTCATTAAAATGACACTGAAATTAAACAAACATTTATTTACACTATATATATATATATATATATATTTTTTTTTTTGATTCACTAAAATATTTGAAAATAGATGTTATGCATTGATTATCTTATTATTTGTAGACTTGTGGAAGTAACAAGGGATTCCAAGCAGGCATATATATATTATATTGATCTATAACAAGTAATGATAAAAACGTGACAATATAAGTGAAATATTCTAATTAAATACACTAAAAATATTGTCATGTTAAATTTTATTATGTAAGTTGTAAACATGTCAGGATCAGTCGTTTTGGAATGAATTGCTTGAGTGAATGATTCAATTACTCGCTTCTAAAGATCATCACTTTTTAATTCTTGAATGAATCAGTGTTATTTAATGAATCATTTGTGCATTGCCTGTTTAGAGCAGTGTCTGATGTGGACTACATTTAATTAAGTCATGTAAACAACTTTACAAAAAAAAAAAATCATGCTGCATTTGAAAAATGTATTGGGCACTTCAGCTTGCAGTGTGAAATACCCCTCAGAGACTGCTGAGAAAAGTTGTAGGAGTAGCTTGTCTGTGGTTAAAACTGCAGGAATATCCAGTTCCACTGTTTAAAAATGGATCACTAAGGCCAGGTCGTGGTTGTATACTTTTCCCACCTGTGTCAAATGATGAGCCTCGTTTTGGGTAATAATATATTGTGCGATCTGTATCATGCTGTGCTGTTGAGTCTCTCTCTGCTCATTTGAGCTCTCTGTGCTTGTCAGTAGGTTACAATGGCTTGTTCTGAACAAGATCAGTGACTCTGTTAGCTGTTTATTTCAGTCATGTCCCACTTGCTGTGTGGTCACTACCCTCTGTCCTGCTCCGCATAAGGGAACGTCCAAATAAATGGACCATCAGCAGTCGTGAAGCAACACCAAAATTATCATAAAAGAAATCACGTTGTGCTTTGATTATACGCAGACACTCTTATAGAAGGGCATTTTTTGTTGAAAAATGACAATAAACACGCAGGGGCTAGAAGTCATAAGTGCTGGGAAAGAAAGGAGCTGCAGAAAAAAGGAAAAAGCAATAGGTCGTAGTCAGAACAGATTAATCCAGACTGTCATTAGACGGCCATTGTCCCTGCGGTGGGCAGAGCTGGCAGTTCAGCTGAGGAGGATCCTACATCAGTCAAGGTGAAATACACGCTCCAGCAGCACTTTAAAGCAACCTTGCACTAGGTGTTGGCATTGTTTTGTGCACTTCTTCTAAACCCACATAGAGATGGCAAAGATGTGAGCTAATGTTAGCAATGTCAGTTCTGCGCAACCAGATTTTTACTGTTTGCGAGGATTATGCTGTTTTTCCAGCAAAACGTGCATAGGCTGCATACACACTGCGGGTAAATTTTGCGGGTTGACTCTCCTCGTTAAATCCATGTGATGTAACTATTTGTTAATGCAGTGGAACTGCTAATTATACTCCTAGATTGTGCTAGAAAATGACAGGAATGTATCTCATTCGCAAATGTTGATACCTGTCTCTCCACTGCAGTTCTCTGCCTTGAGGTCGCCAGAGATTTTGATGAACTTGCAGCGACAAAGGGCTGTTCACACAAGACGTATCCTTGTTTTCAAAAGCAGCTAGATGGAAAACAAAATGGGGCAAAATGCAAAGCTGAACTATGAACATGACACAGCCTCTTCAAAAATGCAAAAAACAAATAAAACTGTCAAATGTAACCTCGTTTCAAAACTGCATTTCTGTTGATGCAGGATAACTAAAATTTCCCAGATGTTAACATTTCTAGTCTCCCAACAATAGCTAATAACAACAAACGGGGTTTAAACGGTTGCCATGTGCATTTCTGCTGTCAACCATCACAATTTAAATTCTGTTCACATTCAAAATGATAATTTAGGAGATTGACTAATTTTAAAGGTGGTGTCTATTTACACAGTGTTTGCAATGGTTATTACAAACTATAACTTACATTATAATACCCAGAATTGCTTAGATATTTTATAAGTTTTATGATATTTTATTCCTTCTCTACCTTGCCTATTTACATCCATTTAACCTTCTTGTGAATACAGTAACTTCACTACTTGAACTTAGTGTAAACAAGATGCTATTTGTTGCTATTTATACTTGGAGCAAACTGTATCCCAAAACTTCGCTGTGTTCATGGCCACACTAAGAAAGTTTGTAAAAATAGGGCACAACTAGTGTTATTATGAAGGAATTTTTCCACACTGATCTATTTTACAGATGTTTTACCTATATTTTGAATTACATATTACATTGTGTTCTGTTGTAGGGTTAAAACAAGATGCTATTTGTTGCTATTTATACTTGGAGCAAACTGTATTCCAAAACTTCGCTGTGTTCATGGCCACACTAAGAAAGTTTGTAAAAATAGGGCACAACTAGTGTTATTATGAAGGAATTTTTCCACACTGATCTATTTTACAGATGTTTTACCTATATTTTGAATTACATATTACATTGTGTTCTGTTGTAGGGTTATTTAAAGTCCGCGTGAACCGGAAGTTGCTGCCGACTTTATTTCAGTGAAGTGACGTATTTCCAGCTGAAACGGAATACTGAGGAGAGGGCGTGGTTTTATTTTGGCGCTCCTCCTCTCATCTCTCACTCATAGCAAACTAACGGTTGGAGAGGTGTGTTTAATTAAAGGTGCTGTATGTAAGTTTTTGACTCTACTAAAGCATAAAAATACCATAATATATTTGCAGATATTTAAGAAACATGCTAAGTTAACATACTTGTTTATCTGAAAAACAATGCTACAGTCAGTTATTCTCCTTTGAAAATGTGCGTTCCGGGCCGGAATGTTGGTCTCTGTTTTGGTTTGTGAAACCCGCCCACTGCCAGTTTACCCAATTGTATTTCGGCACCCTGGGTTGCCAGTTGGCAGAAAACCATAGACTGTATAAAAACATGGACGTAGTGTCCGTGACGTCACCTGTAGATTTCCGAAGAGCGTTTTTGAAGCTCTTGTCGTTGCCAAGAGGCGGCCGTCGCCATCTTGGCAACGCGTCACAGCGCGTCACTCCCGGATAATTGAAAATGGGCAAAGAGGCGGGAGCAGGTTGCTGAAGCCATGCCCACCTAGCTCGACGGTGGTAACAGCAGCTGCAATCCACCTGTCACTCAAGTGGCCACGCCCTTAATTATGCAGAACTTTAAGGCTTAATATAATTTAAATGGATGAGTTATAAAAACATTCACCCCCCTCACAGTTGTCATGTCAGTTGTCATGTCTTGTCAATTTAGACTGCAATACCTAGTTCAACCACTCGGTGTCAATCCTACATTCAGCACCTTTAAGGATATTCTGCACAAGCCGTCAAACTGACATCATCAGAGAAGGAATGCCATTCCAGAGTGGAAGTAAATGATCAGATTTTGATTAAAGATTACCAAAACAAAATTTTTTTTCAGCGGGTTAACTTGCACGGATTAATTGTTCACATCAAGACTAGCAATGTGAGCTATAAAGTAAAGTCAATTTTGATTTCATGCAAACTTTAACCCTAACACTTCGTCTACACCGGATGCGCCGCGCCGAAACCGCTAAAGTCTGTCTACACTGGATACGACAAAGCGACCGTTAAAAATCATTTGCACTGTGTGTCAGTACATCATAAATAGAACGCGACAGCAGTTTAGTGTTGGGGATTTGGCGTGTCGCGCCGCGCCGCATCCAGTGTAGACAGCGTGGCTGATTATAATGGATTCTATAGTATTTTGTCGCGCCGCTCGCATCCGGTGTAGACATGGTGTAATGGATAATGACCTGACAGAAAATTACCAGTACCTTATCTGTTTTTCGACTGATTTAACTTGCGAAATAAGTTGACACAATGTTTACACGGCGTTTTAAATCATGGCGGGTGAGGGCATTTCTGTACGCGTTTGGCCAATCAATGTCTTCTTACGTCACGATTAGTACCAGTTGTGCTGGTTAGACCCTGCTCCGGAGTAGGAGCTAATTTGTGGCGCTTTTCCACTGCATGCTACAGCTCGGTATGGTTCACTTTTGGGGGGTTTTCCACTGGGTACAGTACCTGGTACTTTTTTTAGGGATTCCAAGTGAACCGTACCGTTACCAAAACATGACGTGTAAACTCTGCTGATCACGGATTGGCCAGAGAGAATCGTCACTACCTGCATCACTGAACTTGCGACACAAACACAAAAGAACCGCTAGATTTAAATCAGCACAGCCAGCGAAGGATCGAACACAACCGTTTTGAACGAGCGCACCTTTTTTAACAACCAAAAGCTTTTGTTGTCTGTTGTGGAAGAACAGACGTTCCTCTCGTTGATAGCAGAGGAGCGGATCCAGCTAGAGCTTGATGGGGCGACGCGGAATGAAAAAGTTTTTTTAGGAGTTGTGGTAGTAGAGGCGGCACAACTATAACACATATGAATAATCCCGCCCACTCTAAAGCGGTACTGAACTGCAGTGGAAATGCCGAAAAGCCGAACCGTGCCGTGCCGTGCCGAGTCGTACCACGCAGTGGAAAAGCGCCATTGGTTCTAGAAAAAGGCAGTCCGGTACTAAAATCGCACCCAGTTCCGGCGGTGCGAAAACGCCAAAAAGTGGGTAGTTCCACAATTAGTTCTGGTACTATGAAAAGGTTCCCGCAGTGCGAAAGGCCCTATTGTGACCACATCTGGAGCATTAGATCAGTTTGATATGGGTATTAAACATGGCACAGTCCAAGTTCTCTCTCTCTTTAAATTTTTTTTAATTTTTTTTTACAATGTTAGGATTTGACATGCAGTGTAAATCTCCATTCAGATTCCATTAGCTGCCAGAGCCCTCGTCTCTCCACAGATCTCCATAATCTGTCTGTCAGATCTGAGTCACACTGATATCTGCAAAACTATCTCCATGGTTACAAATCAAATCCATTCTGATTGTTGAATGGCACTTAATAGCAGATTATGGCACTTTATAGGTCAACGAGTCCTCTAGGAATATTACAGATTCTTTT